AGAATGATGGTAGCGAAAACAAGGAGGACACTGGTGAAAGTACTCCTAAACGAACTCGAGTACTAGGTAATAGCCTTGGTAGACGGGTGCATTTTTCGTCTGTTGCTGCTGTTTCTGGTTTTTTTCCGAAGGATAGTTTAGCCTCCCCCGTGCTGTCCCCTCACGGGGTCCCACTTCATGGTAGATAGAAGTGTTTTGTGTTTTCAACCGCACTGAGACTGACGTCTTTTCATTGGTCAGCCGGTTAGCGCGGTCGATGCTAATAATAAAAACACACACAAACGAGTAAGGACCGTTTTAAACGGACCGACTTTTTTGTCAAAATTTTCGACAGTTGTCTTTCAAAAACTTGGAACCTGTGTGCAGTCATTTTAAACGTGTGACGTAGACTTGTGCAACTTGTGTCAAAAAAAATGACGCCGTCCGTGAGTTGTAGCGCTCACTTCGAGACAACACAGACGACACAACACAAACCGCGGAAAACACGACATCATGGACACCGACATGGATATCACGACCACCCAGCGTGGCCGGCAGACCAAAACCCCGGCGAAATTCCAGCAGACGGGCTCTCTCGGTGCCGCCGTAGGCGGTGGAGGCTTGCTCTCCAGCAAGATAGTGCTGCTGCCTGGCATCTCGGGGAACACTCATGTTACCACGGGAGGCGCTGCCGCCACCAACACTCCGCCGGCGAGGGGTGGCAACCACTGCTCCTACCCCCCCGGGAAAAGGAAAAAACAAAGCGGCGGACGCGAAGCAACAACTGCAAGCCATCATGGCGGACCGCCGTTTTTTTTTTTTGTATTGCGCGTGCCCGTGGGCGAGGAGAGCCGCTCGAATCTGTAGGCGCGCCGCGCTTTCTACGGTCGGCCATGACCCACACACAACCCTAGCTGACTTTCTACGGTGAGGGGCACTCGTGGTGCAGACGCAGCAGCCCTCGCGTGCCTCTGCAAGGGTACTTTGGAAAGTGCTCCAAATACTTTGAGAGGGTTGTCAAAAAGTTGGAACGAAGTGGAGCAAAGTTTTCGCGCCCAACTTCGTTCCAAATATTTTGAAAAAATATGGACAAACGCCTACATACAGGTTCCATTTTTTTGACACTTTCAAACATTTTGACAAAAAGTCGGTCAGTTTAAAACGGCCCTATAAGTCTCGAAAGCAGAAGCCTCGGTACAAGTACTATAATACCTGCATTTCTCGCCATGTGCTACAGCACCGTCGCCGTCTTTCATCCGGAGAATAGTAGTCTATCTAGACTCTCCCATGACTGACGCCCCCTCACTGCTTTGTGTCCACGACCATGGCCTATAGAAGGAGGAGGCGCGTTTTTTTCTCTAGTCAGCCGCACGGAATGACTGTTTTCATTGGTCAGCGGGTTGAGCCGGGTCGGTCGATCGATTCTAATAATGGCTACAGAAGAACTACTTACGCTGGATCACCCCTCTCCCGAGGAAATGAATAAATGTGCCTTCAAACACGAAAGACACGCGATGCGTGCGTACGTACGTGGAAGCACGCCGTGCTGTGCCATAGGCAGCAGCAGGTCTGCTGAGGTCGATCCGAAAGCAAGCGAGGTTCGGCGCAGCGGCACGATTTTGATTAGATGGAATGTACTGCTGCTGTATGGGCCTATCTACAGCAGTGTACGACAGACGAGTCCATGCTACTTACTCTGTATTTTATTCAAGAAACACGCGCAAGCATCCAGAAGTGGTAAATATAAGATCATACTACAGTACTAGCTGGTTTGAGAGAGAGAGTGGTGAACGGAAGGAGGACGATGATATGTATGATGTGTGGATGTATGCGGGGAGATTCAAACCAGTATCCAGCTGACGCGGTATGCAAACGTGCNGTACGTACGTGGAAGCACGCCGTGCTGTGCCATAGGCAGCAGCAGGTCTGCTGAGGTCGATCCGAAAGCAAGCGAGGTTCGGCGCAGCGGCACGATTTTGATTAGATGGAATGTACTGCTGCTGTATGGGCCTATCTACAGCAGTGTACGACAGACGAGTCCATGCTACTTACTCTGTATTTTATTCAAGAAACACGCGCAAGCATCCAGAAGTGGTAAATATAAGATCATACTACAGTACTAGCTGGTTTGAGAGAGAGAGTGGTGAACGGAAGGAGGACGATGATATGTATGATGTGTGGATGTATGCGGGGAGATTCAAACCAGTATCCAGCTGACGCGGTATGCAAACGTGCACCGATTCTGGTAAAAGTCAATCGACGGATACCCTGCGAATCGGGTCCTCCTTGACAACAAACACCGCTGCGGGGATATTCTATGCGGGCAATTCCCGTTCGACCGCGGGAAT